ATGGCTTTAAAGATGTCGAGGATTTACCACATTTGAAGGCATGGTATGAACGGCTGTCCAAAGAGTTACCCTATTTTGATGAAGTCAATGGACAGGTACCTGATTTGTTTAAGAAGTTTCAGACCGAGACATTTTATTTACATAATAAAAAGTAACCTTGGTAATAGTTTGGTAATTAGCTATATTTTCCCAATGAAATTATTTTAAATGCATGTATGAATTATCTGTACATTTATTTTGAGTGTATTTTATTAATGATACTGCTCAATATTAATTTCAATAAATTTAAAAAATAAACAAAAATAGCATTATAATATAATAGCATTTCTAAAATAAATAAAAATGAGTTTTAATATAATTATTTTAAATATATTTATATTGATAAACTGTGCAATAAATGCTCACAAAATTTTGTAGAATTAAATGTTATGTCATTAAAATAAAATTTTATATTATACAATATTTATTTTTAATGACATGCATTATTTAATTAAATAAAATGTCATATAATACCTCATTATAAACCTTATAACAATATTACAAGTATAGTATAACTTTTATATTGTACCTAGAGTGCTATTACATTTGTATTTGTAATACACTGCATTTTATTTCTAAAACTTTTAAAATTATTATTTAATAAAAATTTCTCTCTATGAGTATTTAATTTATAAAATTTATTATTATACAATTTAAATGGACAATTGATTTACCATTTTGTATAATATAATTAATTAATTAAAAATTTAAATATATAAATTAATTATAATAACTTTAGTTATTAAGGACCATGTTTATCAAGTTAGTTTTAGGTTATTATTACTTTCTCACAATTATTTGTGTGACACAATCGGTGGCAAAACAATTGCCGCCAAATGTGATCATATTTATGGCGGACGACATGGGATGGGCTGACGTGGGCTACCACTGCGACCACATCCTTACCCCAAACATCGACACATTGGCCGCCGATGGCGTCGTATTAAATAACTTCTACGTACAGCCCGCTTCCCACCCGAGTAGGGGTGCCCTACTCACCGGTAGACATCCCATGCATTTTGGCTTTCAACACGGAGCACTAATGCCTTATATGGCCACTGGTTTGCCCCTACACTTTAAATTATTACCACAATATCTTAAGCATTATAATTATGCCACACATATAGTGGGTATGGTAGCAATTTTAATAATGCTAATATTTATTTAATTAATATAATATATAAAACATATTAAATATATTAATATTTTTATAATACTGTATATTTATTAAATATACATAAAATTTATTTATAAGCATAGTAATTTTAATTATAGTTACTATGATACAATACAAAAACAAAACAAACGATTTAAACAATTTTCTACTTGGTAAGGCAAATGGCATTTAGGTTTTATGAACCGTGAATACACGCCAACATACCGGGGCTTCGACTCGCACGTGGGTTCTTGGACTAACAGGCAATACTATTTCAATCATACCAATTGCGACCCATATGACACAGTCGGGTAGGGTATGTCACGATTTAATCACTCATAGAATTAAATTAAGTTGTGGCTACGACTTCCGACATAACATGGATGTCATTACAAACGCGTCGGGAGTTTATTCAACACATTATTTTACCGACAGATGCCTTCATATAATCGGTTAGTAAGGATTGAAATAATTGATTGTATAGTCGAGTGTATATTTTGTAGACCTGGGTTATATTTTTAGTAAACTATCATATTTTGTCATTACCTCAGACGAGCATAACACATCTGAGCCACTGTTCCTATATATGCCACACCAGGCCCTACACGTGTCGGTTAATGAGTTGCCAGTGGAGGCGCCCCAGGAGTACATCGATATGTTTGCGTACATCGAGTCCGATATGAGGCGAGGGTTGGCCG